ACCCCGCACAACATGATCTACTCGATCACCATTATGGTTACCGCTAAAAAAAAAAACGGAGGTAAAAAAAAAAAACGGTAGCCTGGTTGCCGAGTTCACGAAGTGAATTGGCTTGTTTTACAACGTCGTTGCCAGGCCACGAAAACCCAACCCCGATGGCAAACACCGGGGGGATGTTGAGGAGGGGGGGAAGATTTTGTTCGCTCTAAGAATGCCCGCTCTACCGCACCCTCTGCAGTAGGGCAGTAGGGCACAAGGCGATTTTGGTCGGGTGCCACAAATAAAGAATGGCGTGCATGGTGTACTGCCTGCTGGATGTGTATCCATCTCATGTGCCTTTTATCGTTGCATTCCTCTCTCAAATTCTCGCCATGGACGCTCTAATGTCCATGCGAAGGTACGGCATCAGGTGTGCAAGGTACACCAATTGTGGGTGAAAGTGGGGAAAATGATCAGCTTGGTTGGTTGAGTAGCCGTCAACCGATCCAATGAAGATTGCGTGTGGTCCGCGACGCTGCCATTCATGCAGCAGAGGCGCTAGCTCCTCAAGGAAACAGATGGAAACCTTGGTATTCTATGTATTCCAGCACTCCGACGGCTGCAGTGACATGCCTTAGGTTTCTTGGTGCACCCCCCGACGATGATCCCGATGGCTCCCTGTGCGGCATCGAAGAAAGTCGCGTACTTCGTGCTTTTCATTGTGCCCCGACCTGTGCCACAATTCGCAACGTTAGTATAAGAAATGCTCGCATCTATGTGGTTCGTGAATTGTGGTTGATGTAATGCTGCATTTCCCGCAGTAATGCAGCCCGTCAAGATGCCAACAAGGCCGTACCCGATGTCCAGGATCGTGGGGCAAGACATGGTGAAGCTGGCTTTGCTACTGGCTGCAGGTGACATGGAGACAGCAGCAATTGATAGGGCGCGCACGACAAGTTGCTTGCATGTCATATTTGATGATGCGTACTGATTTTGACCTCAATCGGGTTCGAATTTGTTGTTTCAGTCCTCACCAAGAGTGTGCCTTGCAAACAGCCAGCTACATTTGTTCTGACGCGGCACATGTGATGGCAGTGTCGAGGCTTTCCGCAGGTTTAGTCTCGGCGATATGGCGTTCGCATAGTGAGGGATGGCTATCTTCTTGCGTGCTTCGCTCCCCGAGATGGAAAGATTAAGTCTCGACGGAATTTCGCTGGTATCTAAAGTAGACCGCTGCATTGGCCGTTTCTATTGTTCTTTTTTCTGCCAGTGAATCCTGCCATGGGCGGTGTTCTGATCTCGGGCAGCAGGGGCACGGCTAAGTCCATCCTGGCGCGTGCTCTTCACAGCGTGTTGCCGCCAATCGAACGCATCAAGGTGGGGTGTGAAGCCTTGAGGTTTGACAACGTTGCTTTGCGTCCGCGAGAAGAGATGCTGCCTGGTTCGTCATTTATGTCACCCACGGCAATTCCTTCAATGTTGTTCCTCGATTTGGAGCGTTTGATGACAGGGATGACTGCTGTAGCAGGGGCTAATCTAATCTGTAGAGAGTGGCGGTGGATATGCGGCCACCATCATCTTGAATTGCTTCGGGCGTTTGATGCCGTGCTCCATTCTGCAGGACTCCGCGTACAATTTGGACCCAGAAACGCCCAACATGGTGGATGACTTCACCGCTGCCATGCTCGAGAGAGAAGGGAAGGAGTTGAGCGACCTCGAGACGGAGATTGTGGAAGCCCCGTTTGTTCAGGTAAGCTTGGGGCGCAGGGGCCTCTCGTGTATATCACCGGAGCGGCCGTTTCCAGCCAGGGGTTTCATTTTATGGCTCTGGTTTGTGGTGTGTTGGCAAGCGTCGAAATTCCCGTCCTGTCAGTCAGGTTTTTTCCTCCCCCAGAATGAAAATAACAATTCGTTCTAACACAGAGGACGCCGACGGCTTGCTGTGCTTGACCTACGGGCGCTCAAGCTTGTGTGGCCGTCGTTTTGTGGCTCAGACGTTCAACCGGTTGCCGGCGCATGTGTTTCCCATTTGGAACAGGTTCCGTTGAACGTGATGGAGGACCGCCTCTTGGGCTCTGTGGACGTGGAGGAATCGGTGAAACAGGTGAGCAATCCTACAGCCGCGCTACAGTGCGCATGATCCCGACGATGTGTGCTTACGTCAACCGTTCCTATTCACGCCTGTCTCTACCGCAGTGATTTCCTGGTGGTTGCGATCCCTTACAGACTCAATATACATTCAATGTACGGGGTTGCGGGGGGGTCCTTGTATTGATCCAGGCTGCTCTCTTCGAGTGTGTCCTCTGCTGACATTGGCATGACGTTGTCAACGTTTTCTAATGTTTTATTTCAGGATCCAGCCGGCGTTCTTTTGCACGACTATCTGCTTCTTGCTGGTTGGTGTCCGTAGACTTTTGCCTGTTGGTGTTGCAGTTTAGTTGTGGTGTGAATTGCTCACTCATCGCTCACTCAATCCCGAGACGCTTTTCTGGACCTGTATGGTCCATTCATATTGTGTCGATTCTATCTCATACTACCAGGGAAAGACGGTGTTTCTGCCAGGATTGTTAGCGAACGCCCACCGGGGCATCCTGTACGTCGACGACATCAACCTGCTGGACACTGAGCTGTGCCAGATCCTACTGGGGATTGTGGCTGATGGATGGGTTAACGTGGAGGTAAGAAAATCAAGATTTCCAAAACTCACCTGTTGGGAATTCGTGAGTCTGCAACCGAGAACCGATCGCGTCGGAAGTTGTCGGATGGAACCGTCTTTCAGGGTTAGAGGAGAGATACCTACCAGGTACCAGGGTACGTCGAGTGGATCATGTGTTGTTGTGCCCCAAATAGTGGCTGCTTTTACGGACAACTTAGCCCGCGCCTTTCTTGTCCGCGTGTTTGCAACAGCGAGAGGGTATATCGATGAGGTACCCATGCAAGCCTCTGATGATCGCCACGTTCAACCCGGAGGAGGCAGAGTTGCGGGACCATCTCCTGGACCGCATCGCTGTTGCTCTCAGCGTTGATGCTGCGCCATTGGACATGGATCAGCGCATTGAAGCTGTGAACGGTAAGCCTCGCTGTCGAGTGGTCACAGCGAACACACGCATGTTTGGATCGTTGAGCCCGCTGGTTAAAAGTGCTGAAGGGGCATGGTGCTCTTCGGCTTGACTGCTGTGGCTTTCCACCCCACGGAAGGTCTCGTTTTCGGAGGCACGCAAAGATCGGATACAATAGCTGCCGTGAGGTCCTCGTGGCTGCGTGCAGACGAAAGCCAAAGTCTCGAGTTTACTCGGAGGTTTGAAGACTCTCTAGCCGCGCTTTGATGGCCATTTTCCCCGGTTTTACCTCTGCCGCGTGTCGAACACCACAAGTATGCGCATGCACTGATGCAACTGCTGTCCCCTGCTCGTTTGTCTCTGGCACATGATTTCCGTGTACATTCGTATGTATTCTATTGTAGGTGTGCTGGAGTGGGCTGACATCGACGAGGCAGATCTCCAAAGCATTCTGGACGAGGAAGATAACGTCAAGACTCGCATCATCTTCGCCAGGGAAGAGCTGAAGGTACTAGCTGGTACTGATGTATGTGTGTTCAGAAACAGCAGTCACAGCTTTTGCTCACGCGTTACCTCTTGCCTTTGACGGGCGGCGGCTTCCTGCCACTAGGTGTGCTTCGCAAGCTACTGCTTGGTAACGTGAGCCTGCAGGGTTTCTGCTGTTGCTGACATGCTTTGAAGGCCGTCCATTTTTTTCGCTTTCCTTCCTCTTTCTCTCTCGCAGCAACTGCAACTGTCCAAAGACCAGATCAAGTATTTGTGCGAGGAGGCGAGCCGCGCACAAACCCAGGGACAGCGCGCGGAAATTTTTGCTTGTGAAGTGGCTAGGGCTTCAGCCGGTGAGTTGCTGATCAATGTCTTGCGTACGCTGTACCTTAGTGTTGTGGCAGTACGACGCCGTCCACAGGTTGTCCTTGTGTTCCAACCCGGTGTAAAACGGCTTGTGGTGGCTCCAGTTCCGTGTGTACCCGAGCACACCCTAGTTCCGTCGGTTGCAATGCATCGCTGCAGAACGCCGGTAACGAATGGATAGCAGGTGCCTCTCCCCTAAGTTGCGATGAAGAGACTGCTGATAGCGTCTGTGGCCAACTCTTTCCACGTTGTCATCCTGTTCACTTGCTGTTTTGTCAGCTTTGGAGGACAGGCGCGTGTCTGCCGAAGACCTTAAGCTTGCCGTGAAACTCGCGATTGCCCCTCGTGGCATTTTCATGCAGATGCCCCAGGACGACGAAGAAATGGTGAGGCAGACGAGACGAGATTTACCTGGTGTTCGGTGTAGTCACATGTGGTGGAATCTGGTCCTCTAGGATGTGCAGCCAAGAAGTCGTGTAATAGCACATTTGCTTCTGCTTTGTGGAACCATGTCGAGGGTTTTTAGCGTACGTGTCTTGCAGATTTGGGTTTATGCGAAGAATATCTGCACCATCATGTCGCAAATACTCACAAAATGCTTTGTCGTTGTCCTTCTGTTGGTGCCAGTTGGAGCCGCCGCCGCCGCCTCCTCCTCCGCCGCAGAACAACCAAGAGGATGATGAAAACGGCGAGGTGGGAAACGTCCCCGCAAACTCCTTTTGCGTGGATGTCGTGGGTAGAGGGGGGTGGGCGGAAGCGATTCATTAGCTCCGTTGCTGTTCGCAGCGCTATAATAACGTATCCAATCTCGAACACTGTCTTGTTCTTCATCAGCGGCAAGAGGGTGACGAAGAACTGACGAGGTACGCGGCGTCACCCACCAAGACGTCCCGATATGGCGCCTTGACGGTTAGAGAGGCGCCGTTCGGTAGCCCATACCAGCGAAGCAAGCGGCACCATCCCGTCTCCACGCTCTCGATGATGTTGCTACCTTGCTTCCCTGAACATTTCCAGGAAGAGAAGGACGAGGACGAAGAGCCGGAGGAAGAGGAATCTCCAGAGGAAGAGGAGCAGGAGGAAGACCAGCCAGATGAAGATGAGGCTCCGGCTGTTCCGCAGGTGTGCTTTCCTAACGAAGAGCGTCCTCAAGTTACCTGTTGTTCCCGTCAAGAGCTGCATGATTGGTGCGCCAACAGCAGTAGTCGGAGCGAGACGAGATTTTGCAGGAGGGCCCGAGTAAATAGTGCTCTTGGTGATGCGACGACTGGAGTTTTGCCGCACGACCAGGCTTGGCCGCGACGTGACTTGCCTGACGTGCGAAGGGTGTCATGTGTTTCACGGTTATGAGAGCCAACCGAACATCGCAAACATTTGTAGTGCAGTGTCGTGTTCGGAGAGTAGTTTCGGCGGTCCAATTCCAGCCTTTGGCTGTCTCTTAAATTTTGCCTTTGCTTCGAACGAATGTGTCGGCATGATTCTCCGTCTTGAAGGGCAGCATTGCTCGCGTCGTTCCTGCCACGCACGCAGCAGTTGTTTGGTGCTGACTGCCTATTTGGAACACCCAACGGTGTTCTGTTGCATTCCATATTCATGAGAGGAAAACAGTAATTTAGTACCGTTGTGCTGTTGTCGCGTCATTCGGTGCGCCATTTGCGGGCGAGGCGTCGAGTTGACGTGTAAGTGGATAGCTGCGCCCACCCAAAGCACGATTCATGCAAGTGTATCGGTTGGCCAGCCTCTCATTTGCGAGCTCCGCGGTTCTTGCTCGCCTTGCCATTCAGGAGTTCATGTTCGACATCGACTCCACGCCCATCGATCCTGAGCTATTGGATTTTACCGGCAAGAACAACTTGGGCAAGTCCGGTGGCCGTGGCCTCATTTACTCGCAGGAGCGCGGACGGTACATAAAGCCCATGATTCCACGTGGCAAGGTGAGGGTGACGTAACTATTCTCTGACGCATCGAATTTGAATACCGGGGTGTCGGGGCTTATTTTGAGACACTGGATAATTGCACCTACTTATCAGGGCTTGGTTGGTGTCTACTATTTGCAAGAATGGGACGCAGAACTTGTCTGCGTCTGTCGTCAAATCCAATGGGACAAGGCCCATCGAGAACCGGAGAGGATTGGTCGAGTGCCCAGGTGCCCCATGTCACCACGATCTCCAGTTATTTTGTGTGGTGTTGTCACGTTGGTTGACACGTTCGTTGCATGGATAACGTCACGTGTTCACTGCGCTGAGGTTGTTTTGATTGCCTTCTCGTTTACAGGTTACACGCCTGGCAGTGGATGCGACCATGCGAGCAGCTGCTCCTTACCAGCGACCGCGTCGCAAACGGGCCGCTGTGAGTATTCATTACGAGTATTCGAAGTACATTTTTGGGAAGATTTACTTGTTTCGCATTTGATTCACTTCTCTGTGGTAGTGCAAAATCTTCTGTGAGACGTGTCCTGTTTGGGTCTTAATGATGCGCTCTCTTTGGGTCACGGTGTTGAGAACACTACCTTGAGTCTCATCAGCATTGCAAGTAGAGAGATTATGTGTCGTGGTGCTCCAACCGTCGTAACAAACTTCATTTGTTTCTTGGCAGGGCACCGAGAGGGAAACGCGAGGAGTTTTCATTGAAGGCTCGGATGTGCGCGCCAAGCGCATGGCACGGAAGGCGGGGTCGCTGATCATCTTCATCGTTGACGCTTCGGGATCGATGGCCTTGAACAGAATGAATGCGGCAAAGGGAGCGGCCATGTCGCTTCTGCAGGAAGCTTACCAGTCACGTGACAAGATCTGCATCATTCCTTTCCAGGTGAAGATGAGGGCTGTTTGCACACCTCGTGTCAATGGAACAGTCAGTAGAGCCGCCTGAAAACGTCCGTCGGATGCATCGTGACCTACCGACACACAGACGCCACACGTTGACCTGGTTGATTCCACGTGTTCCTCTACACTACAGTTGGGGAGTTGTGTTCAACTGTGACACACGGAACGCACCACCATGTATCACTGGCTACACTTGATTGCTGTAGTCATTACATGTAATGAAGTACTTTAAGTACAAGTGGCAAGTGGCAAGTGGCGGTGATATGAAACGGTTACCGCGTCCTCCCTCCTCACAAACCCGCTCGGGAGGAGAAAAAAATGCGTGCTTTATTTAGTGTTGTTGCCGCACAACAGCGTGCATGCATGTAAGCAAAGGTACGAGGAATGGGACGTTCCGGCCATTGCCGCGAACAGCGTCAAGGGCAACCCTGTAGTAACAACGAGACATCGAAAACACGAATGCTGTGTGCGCGCATGCCCTCAGAATTTGTGCTCGTGCTTGTGCTTCGTACGACGAATAGGGAGACAAGGCAGAGGTCCTCCTTCCTCCAACCAAGTCAATCGCCATGGCCAGGAGACGTCTGGAGACGATGCCGTGTGGGGGAGGGTCGCCGTTGGCGCATGCCCTCAATGTTGCTGTACGAACAGGCATCAATGCTCAGAAGAGTGGAGACGTGGGGAAGGTGCGTGCACGGAACGGGATGATGGTGATGTTTTATCTTATGCCAAACGTGGAAACACCCACAGCACACCGGCTTACTTACCCGTGCCCCAGGGTTGCATCCAATCGTGTTCCCATGCATTTTGTCGTGAACACATGACGTTAGTTTTTTGTCGTTATTAAGAGTGCAAGAGACCGCCTAAACGAGGTGCAAACCCTTGCCTACTCTCATGCATGATGTTTGCTCAACTGGACCAGGTGATCATGGTGTGTATCAGCGACGGGCGGGCGAACGTGCCTCTTTCTGTCAGCAACGGGGAGCCGGTGAGTTGCTGCGCAGAGCAGTAGCGCTTTAGTTGAAATCCGTCGCGTGCAAATTTTGTGGCCACCAGAGTGGCATGAGGTATGGCCACGGCGCTTGTTTCAGAGGATTGGGAATGTGTTGGTTGGAGGCCTTGGGTCACATGTGTTCGGAGAAACGATGCGATTTCTGCATTCCTGTTTTGGTCCTGATCGCCTGCCGTGGGCTTTTTTTCCGCTGCCAGATGGACCCTGACAACAAGCCCACGCGAGAAGAGCTGAAGGATGAGGTGATCAAGGTGTCAAAGGGGCTCGTTGGCTTGGGCGGCTTCAACCTGGTGAGCGTGGTTTCCGAAATATGACCTTGCCCTGTCTTTTGGTTTTTATTTCTGAAGAAAACGTGACTCGTCACATCGTTACACGTCATTGTGCAAGCCTGGTGCTAATAACGATTGCTTGGAATTTTCTACGGGTCGCAAAGAAATACTCCTACACTACTCCGGAGTGTGTACGCATGCGTGTCTGATTCCGATTTTGTCGTATCGTTGTCCGTTTTCTGGCAGGTTATGCTGGATACTGAAAACAAGTTCGTGTCGACGGGTATGGCAAAGGAGATCGCGGCTGCGGCTGGCGGTCGGTACCACTACATCCCCAAGGCATCAGAACAAGCCATTGCCAGCGTTGCCTCGCAAGCAATGGAGGGCCTTTGATGCCCAGATTTAGCTACGAACGAGTGATTTTAACGGAAAGTGTTCAAGACACAAGAGTGATGCGATATCATAGCAGAACGATGAGTGTTGGGATTGACCATTCGGCGCGAAGTGTGGTTGAAGGGGAACCGTTGTGGAGTTGCTATGCAAGGAAGGCTCCCTGAGGTATTTCTTGGCATCTAGAGGTATACTAGTAGAGAGTGCAAGTGGCCGTCAAAGCAGCTGTCAAATTTGAGGGGCGTACGACACTCATCATTCAGTCTTTCGCTGGGAACACCTGATTCGCATGAGCCCATTGTCCAGATGGTTTTACCCCGCGTTCTGTGCAGTGTTCCCAACGTCGTTTCCAAAGGACTGCCCTCTTTGTTGTACATGGCGCGGTACGTTCCAAGAACACCGATTGTACAACTTCCTCGTGCTTGAAACGTGGTACCGGTGCATGGTGCATTCTCTGAAGTTTCATGGTGGAGATGATCCAAACCCGGCCATGACCGATGTGTGTCGAGAGCGCTTGTGCGTTAGTACACCGTCTTGGTGTTGTAGATGCAATACACTACACGAAACACCTTAGCTGTCCACGGTTGAAAGTATTGCTGAATCTCTCTTGGCTTGACCGCAGGAGAATCTTGTGTGACTCCGGCTCGTACAGACCAGAAAATATACCGAGACGTGTGGCGGACCTTGACGCCCAGATACAGGACCGAGGGAT